CCACTGGCCACCTCGCCTGCCTGCAGTGGCTGCTCTCGCAGGGCGGCTGCGGAGTGCAGGTGGGTCTGCGCCGCTCACTGCGCGCCCTGCGGCTTCCTCCCCCGGGGAGAGCTCTGGCCTAGAGCTCCCGTGGCTCACGGGTGGGTGAGATTGGGCACCTCCCGAATGAGCTTGCTTTTGAGCTCCTTCCAGAGGGCTTGGGGTGCGGTGGGTTCCCCAGGTCGACAGTGCCCCGGGGGAAGACGCCCCGGCAAGCTGGGGCCACTGTCTAGAAGAGCACTGGGTAATGCGGAGCCGGAGGGAACTGGGCTTACCTGCGCCAGTATTTAAGCCGGGATGGGAGATGGGGGTGGGGGTGGGGGGAGAAGCAAAGCACTGATCCACGGGAGTCCTGGAGAGTGGGCGGGGCACAGAATCAGAAGCTCAGATCTTCTGGGATCAGGTCTGGAAGAGGGGTGGGCAAAGTCCTACAGTCCACCCCAGGCCCAGACGCAGGTGTCCCCAAGGCCAGGACATGGGGCAGGAGTGATGGGGGTGGCAAATGAGGCCTCCCCGGGACCTTAGCTGACCCTGGGACATCAGCACCTTCCTGCCTTCCAGCTGTGAGTTGCTTCTCCAACCCAGCCTGAGTCTTCCTGCCCTGAGACCCGCCTGGTCTCGCTCAGTGACCCTCAGGCTGATATAAACCTGGTCCCTCCTGAGCTGGAGGTGGGGCAACTCAGGTTCTGATGTGTAGCTCTCCTGCTTGCTCCTGTGGGCAATAGAGCATCCAACAGGTACTAGGCCTGGGGACTCAGGTGTGCTCCTGATCTCCTGGAGCTGCCAGTCCCTGGGGGCAGTGGACAGCAACCCCGGGGTCAGTCTTGCCAGGGCTTGTGGTGGAGGGGTGTCAGAGAGCTAGCTCCTTGGGCGAGGTGGCGAGGAGTGAGTGACCTCTATGGGGAGTCCTGGATGATGAGAAGGTGGTGGCCAGGTGCTGATCAGAGAGTTCTAAGCACAAGGAACAAGAAGTGCAAAGCCCTGAGGCGTACACATTCTTGTCCTGTGGCAGGATCAGCAAGGAGGGGGGAGGGGAGAGAAGCCACCAGAGGCTGGGCTTAGGAATTTGGATGATATCCTAGTTGTGGGGGAAAAGCAACTGGAGGAAGGAACCAGAACTGACTTTCCACTTAGCAAGACCGCTGGGCTAACTGGATGTAGGAGAGGAGGCAGGGGTGACTCTGAGCTGGTTGGTTGTACCCTAAGGATGACCAGACCCTATCCCCCCACTTCGCTCTCAGGATGGCAAGGTCCCTCTTCTGACACTTCCTGGGAGATGGCCACCCCTTATCTCCTGGCTGGCTCTGTTATCAGGACTTCCTGGCACATGGTCTGTGCCCACTCATTTGGGGGGTGGCATGCTAATGTCCAATGTCCAGGCTTGGCCGGAAGCCTCCCTAGCCACTGCAGAGGAGGTGGGGGAACAGGTGGCCTTGTGCCCAGCTTATCAAGTCTCCCTCCCTCGAGCCCCAGCAAGCTCAGGGCGGAAGTGTGTCTGTGGGGAGGATGACCTCGATCCCCGGCCCTGCTCAGCCCAGCGATAAGCAGCTTTAGGGTGTGGGCCACAGCACGTGAGGCTCCTGGGGCCTACACAGCTGTTAGAGCCTTGGGGACAGGCCAGAGCCCATAGGCCTGGGTCTTCTCCTTATTGCCCCCTCCCCACCCTCACAGAGGTCTGGGCTCAGGGGGATAGACTAGGCGTTTGGCGCACAGAGGAGTCCCAGTGTTGTCCTCAGCTGTCTCACCTTCTGGCTGCCTCCTTCCTAGCCCCACAGCCACCCCCATAGCCTGACTGATGACTTACTAGTTGTGGCTCCAGGCCCCTGTCCCCTTTGTCCCCTCTTTTCCTCTCACCTGTTTTTCAAGAGCCTCTGAGATTCACCTTCCTCCAGCCGCCTTGGCCACACCTTTCCCCCCAGTGCCTCTCTGTGGGCAGAGGGGCTTCCCTTCCCTGATCCTAGTAAACCATGCCCCCGCCCACTGCTGCCCCATCCCTGTGCCCCTGCCCACCTCTCCATTATCCCACCTGCTTGGCTCTGGGTACTCGTGCTTGTTCCCACACTGGTGCCCACTCACCCAGACCTGCCAGCCTCTGAGTCCAGACTTGTGGGTTCTCTGTGATTCTCCTCCTTGCCCAGGTAATGTAAGCAGCACCTGCCAGCCCCCTCCTGCAACAGACACACACACCTGGATGGTCATGGATGACATACTTGGTACTTTGGGGCCCAGACCATCGGCCTGCCCCCTCTGGGGTGCCTGGGAGAGGGTCTAGCCCAAGCCCCTCCCAGGGGCTGCCACTAGTCCACACCGACCACCATTGGCTGACTGTCCAGGCCCTGCCTCCAGTACCCAGAAGCTTCCTCCTCCACAGAGTGAGAACACAGCCTGTTCCCTGGGCCAGGAGCAGGGAGTCTGCTGGGGGCCCAGGCAGGGGCCGTTCCCCACACTGATGTTGAGTTATTGGAGGTCCACCAACCTGGAGACCTCTTTTCCTGTGACACCTGGGGAGGGGGAGAGGGAGAGGAAGGGGCCGAGGGTTAGACGCAGGGGGTGCCCCCACAATCCTGAGGCTAGCCTGGTACCACCGCAACAGCCCAGCTTTCCCGCCCCAGCCACCCTCGCTCACTCCTTCGGGTGTTCCCTGAGCATCTGGGTGACAGTTGCCAGGGAGCCCAAGAATGCCATGTCCTAAAAGCCTACTATACGCGAGCCTTTCCATCATGACCTGCAGGCCTCGGGAAGCCCAGCACGGTTCAAAGAGGGCCAGTCAGGGGTCCAAGGACAGAACGGCCCCCGTGGCTGGTGGGATGCAAGAAGGCCTAACGGGCTCTTCTCCCACAGGACAAAGACAGTTCTGGTGCCACAGTCCTGCACCTGGCTGCGCGCTTCGGCCACCCGGAGCTGGTGGACTGGCTGCTGCGTCATGGCGGAGCGGACCCCGCCGTGGCCACAGAAACAGGCGCTCTGCCTGCGCATTATGCTGCCGCCAAAGGAGACTTCCCCTCCCTGAGGCTTCTCATCGGGCACCATCCTGAGTAAGGACACCCCTCCTCGCCTGTCTTCTGGGTGGTGTGGGCCAGGGCTCTGGGGAATGCCTGAAATCTGCCCCTCCAGCATTCCGGGAGAATTTCTGCTTCTGGGCCATCCCCTTGGCCAGAGATGGTTCCCACCCAAGCTGAAATTGTTCCCTTCCTGGAAGGCTGCCCACAGCCACTTGCCCCAGAGCTTGGCAGGCAGATGCTCTCGTGCCCAGCACGCGGCTACACCTGGGAGGCTGGGCATGCGGGCCAAGATCACCTGCTCCTCTCCAGGAAGCTTTCCAGCCTGCAGCAGGTGGCTCTCCTGAGCTCTGGCCTGTGCCAGTTTGCAGGACCATCTTAAATGGGAGATAGGAGAGGGGCGCCTGGGTGGCTCAATCGGTTAAGTGTCTGCCTTGGGCTCAGGTCATGATCCCGGAGTTCCGGGATCGAGCCCCTCATTAGGCTCCCTGCTCAGTGAAGAGCCTGCTTCTCCCTCTGCCCCTCACGCCCTCACCCCGTTCGTGTTCTCTCTCGCTTGCTCTCTCTCTCTCTCTCAAATAAATAGCTAAATAAAAATCTTTAAATCAGGGGTAGGAGTGAAGATATGGGAGAATTTCCTAGACCCCTAGTCAAGAAGGAGGAGGAGCAGTGAAGGGAGAGGACCTCCTGCCCAGACCCCCCACCCCACCTCCTAGCCCCACAGCCTGCTGACTAGACCACCCAGAGAGCAACTTGTCATTTCCTGTGACCCCTCAGCCCATTCCCTCTAGCAGGGGAGGTGGGGCCTCCAAATCTCCCAGGGTCCTCAGCCTGAGTGGCAGGTTTGAGAAAGCAGCTGAGCAGTGGGCTGGGAGCTCCCCAGGGTGGGGTGTGAGCATGGGGAAGAATGGGGCTCAATGTAGAGCAGGGAAATCCTGGGGGGTCCTGGGGGAGGGAGGGAACCAGGTCTTAGGTGCATCTGAGAGGACACAGGCGTCCTGGGGGAGTGTCTGAGGGAGTGGGACAATAGTCCCCACCTGACGAATGGGGGCTCTGACCGGTGACCTTTGTCAGTCCAAGTGGGTGCCTGGGACATTAAGTGGTGACAGAAGACCGAGCCGCGGGAGGAGAGCAGCCACGAGGTAAGGGGGTCAGTCCTCACCACTGGCTCCAGGCCTGTGGGAGCCTGCAGGGCCCGGGCTCCCAGGGAGCAGGCAGGAGGCCAGCCTGGCCCCAGGGCCTTGTGGCAGGGTGGCTACAGCCGGCAGCCTCTTGGGCCCAGGCACCCCGGGGTGATGAAGGGCAGTGCTGAGAGCCCCCAGGCCGGCCTGCAGTCATCTTGCTGAGCAAGGAGTTCCTGGGTTTGGTTAGTGGGAGCCCCGCAGGTGTGCCACAAGGGCCAGAGGTTCTCCTCACAGCCATCCCCGCCAGACGCCACTTGGTGGCACTTCGGCATGAGTTCTTCGCTCCGGACAAGCTAGGGTTTGGGCACATTGAAGGCAGTGATTTAGAGTAGGAGGCCCCCCGAGATGCAGGCTCCCGACCTGACACCGTCAGCACGGTTGGTGGGCTTGGTCCCAGATTCCCGACTCGGACTCTCCAGGTTGAGGCCAGGTAGTGGCCCCTGAGACAGGCCTGCAGCCCCACTGTGGTGACTCGAATGCCCCTGTCCCACCCCCTCACTTCACATAGAGGACACTGAGGTCCTGAGAGGGGAGGATGGCCTGTGGTGACCCTTCTGCTCCCATAAGCCTTCCCCATCACACGTAACGGGCCCCCCAAAGCCGGGCTAATGGCGATGCCGACTTAGCCCAAATGGTGTAAACTGAGACAGGACTCCAAGCCCACCCCTGGAAGTGCTGATGAGGAACTTGGGCAGGAGGGGGAGGGGCGAAGCCCCAGGCTGCCCCTGAACCCCTCCTCACTGAAAAGCCTGGGGCCTAGGATGAGCCAGAGCCCTGCATGAGCTGGGATCCCAGCCTTAGGAAGACTAGCTGTGCCGTGGGAACCCTGACCCCTCTCAGGCCATGCCAGGTGCTGGCAGTGACTGGGCCCTGATGCCACCTCTGAGGCCAGGTGGCCTGGGCTGATGAGCCGTCAGCCCTTCAGAGGCCTCTATGAATCTCACAGAGGTGGTCAGAAGACTTGGGCCCATTCCCGCTGCAGCGTGTGACCTGGCTGATAAGAAGGTGCTTTTTTGTGAGGTTGCCAGGCTGGGCTCAGGCAGGAGGGGGCGGCTGGGAACTGGAGTGGGGCCTTCTGGGAGTTGGAGGCCAATGCCCATGTAGCCTCCTGTCTTGGGGGTAGAGACTCCTGCTCTCTAAGGCTGGGAACCCCAAGGCTGCATATGGAGAGGGCAGAGGCTCAGGCTGCCCCAGGCCGCAGGGCTCAATCCGGGGACCCAGGCAGCCTGCTTGTGGAGGCTGTGGCCCACGCTTTCACTCTCGTGAGCCTCCCAGACCTGCTGTGAGGCGTGGTGAATTATTCATAAGGCCTCAGCTCTCCCTGGCAGTCGGTGAGGGAGGAAGGGCTCCCAGATCTACCAGTGAGAAACTCGATCCCGCCCCGGGGGGCTGTGGGCCGTGGCAATGACGAGCTGCAGAGGGGCTGGAGGGCTGGACCAAGGCGGGGGGGTCGGGGGCAGGCTTGCTCGGGCCAGGCTGCACCTTGGGGTGTTAGAAGAGGCTTGAGATTGCAGGAACACCCTGCACCCACCTGCCCCTTGTCCAGTCTATCCCCATCCATTGGGCAAATCCTTCCAGAGGTGGAGGAGTTGCTACAGTGACCTCTGGGGCTATTGCCCCATGGGGATCCTCCCTGCAGAAGGAGGGTCCCTAAGTGGGCGGCATGGAGGCTGACAGGAACCGGGCTGGGGCTGTTTCAGGCCCTGGGTCTCAGGGAGATGGAGTCCGTGGGGTCGGCCCTACTGGCCAGGAGCACTCGTGGTCGGTGGAGGGGAGCCAGGTATCCAGACCTCCAGTCAGGGCAGACAGAGAAAGGGCAAGGAGCAGGTAGCCTCGGAGCTCCTTACCGCCTTGCCAGCAGGATGCCAGGACCCACCGTGTGCTTACCTGGGGTCTGTGCAGCTGGAGGGGAGCCCCAGGCTCGGCCTAGACCCCTGGGCTCGAGCTTCAAGGCTGGGGAGAATGATGGAGGGGCTCCGGGCTCTTCCTTCTTCTGGGGCCCCTGTGCTCTGCCCTTCATAGCAAACTGGAAAATCAGTCTGCCCTAAGATCCATATCAGCTGCACCTCTCTGCAAGTATCTCCTTTGCCTGAGGCTTGCCCTGCCCTGGGACAGAGATTGGAAAATGCCCTGGCCAGGAGTCAGGATAAACTCGGATGAGCTCCTACCTGCCGAGTGCTTACTAAGCGCGTAGCACCACCCGGTCATCTGAGCCTTATAACCAGCCCAGGCAGTAGCTCTATAAGTAACCCAGGTTACAGATCGACTTATTCAACCAATCTTTATGGAGCTTCTACTCTGCGCAAGGCAATATTCTAAGGGCCAGGGATAAATCAGTGAGCCAGACAGATGTCCCTGCTGCGGGTGCTGACTGAGGGACAGACAGCACCTCACAGAGGCTTACTGAGCAGCTGAGGTCCCCCGGGCCCCCTGCGTGGCCTTGATGAAACTGTACCCCCTCTCCGGGCCTGTCTCCCACTCCTGCTCCAGTTCCTAATCTCTCAGGTCTCCCCTGACCCTGGCCCTCTTCCCATCCAGCTCTGCCCACCTTTGAGAACGCAAATCAGACCCCTGGACTGCCCACAGGCTCCCTGCTCACTGATAGGGGAGGCCATTTCCTTCTAATGGCCTGGGGGCCCTCCTCCCTCTGGCCTGCCCCCATGCCTCACCTGCGAGGCTCCCCCATCCCCACTCCATTCCGCCTCCAGAGCCTCCTTGGGCTCCTACCACAGGCTGGTGCCCCCCAACCTCCCACTGGCTGTTCCTGCTGCCTAGAACTCTCCCCAGAGAGCCCTTCAGCTGCTCTCTCCCTTCCCTCAAGGCTTTGCTCCACCTCCCCTCCGCAGTAAGTCCTGCCCAGAGCCTCCTTCAGATTGTAACTTGCCCAGAAGCATGCACACCCCCCAGCTCCCGCTCTTCCTCACATTGCCTTATTTTCCCTGGCCTCCTTATCACCCCTGGCATTACATTCCGTGCATCCTGGGGCATTCTCCTATGATGTCTCCCCAACTAATGAGAGCAGACCTCGTCTGCCGCCCCGTGCCTGACACACTGTGTTTGTTGAATGAATGAGGAGTCTGGAAGCCCTGGGTCTTGTCCAGCTCTGCGTGCATCTCACTGTGGGTGACCTCAGATGGAGCTCCCTGCTGAGCCTCCCTGGCCCATCTGGCAAATGGACCAGCCGAGGCCATGTGTGAGGAGACAGCACAGGGCCCCTGGTCTCACTGCCCATCTCACTCACCCCCACAGTTACTCACTCAACAGCTAGCAACTGGGCGGCCCACCGGTGCTTGGGAGGTAGTGAGCCCTCCCAGCTTCTTGGAGCAAACTTCCAGGGAGGCTCCCAGGGCAAACAAGGGGACAGATCAAGAGCATGTACTGTGTTCAGAGAAGTTCTTGCTTATGTGCGTGTGTGTTGGTTTGCCAGCCGGGCCCCGGTGGAACCAAGCTCTGGGATGGCAGGGATCTGCTCCTTTCACCGCTCTGCCCTGTCCTGTGGCAGCCTCATGACATGTGTCCCTGGAATGAACAAAATAGGTACCCAAGATAACTCCAGTGACAAGTGCCATAAAGCAAAACGGGGCAGCTTGGTAGAAACCAGTGGGGTTTTCTTTAAATTGAGGGAGTCAAGGAAGGAAGGCCTCCTAGGGGAGCTCAGCTGAGACCTGGATCAAAAGCGGAGCCAGCCCTGCAAAAATCTGGCCTGGGAGCATTGCAGGTAGAAGGACCAGCAAAGGCAGACGCAGAGGTGGGATAAAGCTTGGCTTCAGCGAGGCCCAGGAAGAAGGCCTGAAAGTCTGGGAGAGTTGCAGGGAAGGGTAAGCTTCCGGAAATATTCCAGGCTTGCGGGTGAATTGGGTGTAAAGCTGACTATTCTAGAACCTTCCTCAAGTAAGGACTGCATTTCTTCCCTGAGCCAGGCCTAATTTGGGATCTTTTCAAATAAGCTAGGAGGCACGATTAGAGGACAAGAGAGGTAGAGCCACCAAAGGACCCATAACTTTTATCCAGGGCAGCCTTACCCCATGACGACGAGATCTAATCCTTGTGGGATCACCTCCGTTCTGAACTTCCTTGGAGCAGAAATTATTGCCAAAGGTGAGGGCCACTGGAAATGCTGCTCTTTGACCTGAGTCTGGTTCCGTGGGCAGGTAACCCTTTGCTCTTTGTGGCAAAGGATGGAGATTTCCAGCAAGCATTCCATGTTTGTTTCATATCATCACAAGGTGACTTGCTTACTATTTGAAGTTCATTCGTGTCACCTATTTCCCAGAGAGGAAGAAAGATATGATTTATGTGATTGTTGCTAGAGAGTTGCAGACCTATAAAGAGGTCAAGGGTTGAGGGTCTCCAAAGACTCCTAGGATTTGGACTTGGGCTACACGCAAGGGAAGTTAGCATGGTGTCCTTTACCAGATTGGAGCTGGCAAGCTGAGGAGGGTTTGAGGGAGAAGGCGAGAGATCCACTCCAGGCACATAAAATTCCAGAGGCCTGGGCAGTGCACACATGGACAATGGGTAGAGGTGGGGACCGGATGTAGACTCCAGGTCCAAGCTGGAGAGAGGAAGCACATCGGGTGCGGGTGGCCTTTGACCCTGGGAAGTAGATGAGCTCACCAGCAGGGAGAGTGTGTTCAGAAAGGACACTCTGGGGCATCTCCATGTTTGGAGGTCAGGTGGAGGCCAGGGCCCAGCAAAGAAGGCTTAAGAGGCTTGGCAGTGAGTTGGCGGCTGGTCCAGGAAGCCAAGAAGAGTGGGAAGAGGCACCTGTTAGGGAGTGGCCAAGTCAGATGAGAATGGGAAACCCCCAGCGTTGGTCGTGGGGAGTGACAGCTGAGGCCTCAGGGGGTGGGTGAGGGGGCTGACTGGTCAGGATGTGGCCGCCGCACGAGGAAGCAAAGAGCAGCCTTCCCTCCAAGGATATGTGCAACCTTCCAAAGCTTCCTCTTCTGTTCTCTTATAAGAGGCAAGGAGATTCTAGACAATTATGATGCCCAATTGCCATATATGGAAACGGAGGCTCAGGAGGTTAAGAACTCACTAGGGCCCTGCCCAGTGAGCTAAGAGTCAGGGTGGTGGGTGGTGGCCAGGGCCAAGGGCAGGGGCTGGGACTGGAATGGTCACCCTTAGTGTCACTTTGGCTAGAACTTGATGGGCTGGAGCCAGTGGGATGCTGAGGCCCGAAGTACCCTCAGACCCCGCTCCTCTCCTCTCGGTGACTCTCCACAGGGATCCCAAAATATAACAAAGGCTCCAGCCTTGTGCCAGGTGACAGGCCCATGCTGAGGGCTCTCCAAGCACGTCTCATGGACGCTTACTGCCCCCACCCTGCAGGTGGCTTTGAGAACAGAGACAAGAGGCAAGACCGTGACACAGCTGGGCTGGGCTCTCGCCCCAGGTCCTTCTTATACCCAGATCCTTCTCTGCCTCTCTCACTGAGCGATCTGAGACTTCTGTACATAGTCTCCTCAACTGAAAAGGGGAAAAATGCTAGCACTTATCCCGTCAGGTCCCTGAGGGGACTAGATGAGACAGCATGTAGTCTGCTCATCACAGTGCCTGAAACAGATCAATCATTTGATAAACGGTACCTACTATCACTGTTATCAATTATTATTATGACTACTATTATAAATTCATCTCTCTCTCCATCCAAATGAATTGATTTTGTTCCATGTGCTCATCCATTTTTTTTTTTTAAGATTTTATTTATTTGACAGAGAGAGCACAAGCAGGGGGAGAAGGAGGAGCAGGCTCCCCACTGAGCAGGGAGCCCGATGTGGGGCTCGATCCCAGGACCCTGAGATCATGACCTGAGTCAAAGGCAGACGCTTAACGACTGAGCCACCCAGGCGTCCCAATCCATGGTTTTATAATCTCCCCCCAGTGAGCATTCGGGGGGGGCCCTGCCCTTCTTGCCTCAGGCCAAAGTAGAAAGGGGTAACAAGGCCAGGACCCCCTTTCCCACCCTGGCCCATCTGTCTGCCCCATGGTGCTGGGGCCTCCCGGGCTGGAGGTTGTGGCTCCCAGAACAGAGAGGCTGAAATACTAATAGGAATGGCGATGAGCTGGAGTATGTATGGAGCGCTTCCTCTGTCCCAGCGACTCCAGCTGGGGGGGCAGCCACTGGCCCAGCAGGAGGTTGTGGCCATGACTGCACCCTCCTGCTCAGGTCCTGCTCTGCACCAGCTTCTCAGACCTTCTCAGACCTTCCCAGGCTGGCTGGACACCCCTGGATCCCGGACATCTGCCAAGCAGGGGGTGCTAGGGGGGCAGGGCTCCTGGCAGATCTGGTACCCCAAGTTCTGTACATTGCCTCAGGCCTCCCCGCAGAGATCTCAGTGGGTCCTGGGTGGTGGCCCCCTCAGCCTCTGATCCCCAGGACCCCAGCACTCACTGTGCCTTGGTTACAGGGTGAATAATTCAGGCCACTGAGTGTCGGTCATGAAATATTAAGCAGGCTGTTACTGTCACATCGGTATGTGAATGTGTGGGGGTGGGGGGCAGGATGGCACTGGGGTGTGGAGGCTGGTGGCTGCAAGCCAGAGTGTTCCTGGGAAGAGGCGTGTGGGTGAGTCTCTGTCGCCGGGTGCCATGTCAGCTCGTGAGCACCACTCCCCTGACTCAGGTCGGGAAACGGAGGGCAGCCAGGCATGGTCCCTGTTCCACCCCAAATGCGTGAAGTGCCGCGCTCGGCATCAGGCCCAGAAAAATGGCAGCTCTGTGTCTGGGGTGGGGGTGCCCATGTCAGGAGTAAGGAGAGAGCAGGGAGGTGCCCAGGAGGGCTGCAGTTGGCCTGAGGGACGGGGGTCAGGGAAGCGGACAGGAACCAGGGTTTTAGGGACAGGGAGGAAGGTCCAAGGGGTGTGTGAGGGGAAGGGGCCAAGTCATGTCGGGGGTGAGAAGAGGGTGGGTGAGTGGGCAGATAGAGGAGGACTGGGTGGCCTGGTGCCCATGTTAATGGACAGCTGGGCTGGCACTGGGATGAGGGAGGCAGGGCGTGCATGGACATTGGTGGAGAGTGTGCGACTGATGTCGCCAGTGGATGGATCGGGAGGCGGATGGATGGGAAGACGCTTAGTCAGGTGAAGAGGCGCACTTCCTGGGGCATGGAGGGCTGATGCAGCACAGTGGGACTCAGCCAGAGCCTCTGAGACCCGCTGTGGACGGGGGTGGCCAGCTCCTGTCTGGGCCTGGATTGTGTCTCCACCTAGTGTCCAACTATGGTAACTGCGCCCTGGGCTGTCCACCCCATTACGAAGTCAGAAAAACCGAGGCTCAATCAGTGGCGGGGCCAACTTCCCTGTTTTCCAGCAGCACTCCACCTTATGGGGTTGATTCCCAGCTCCCCAGGTAGGACTCCTCTTCAGCAGCTGGGGAACAGGGATGAGGGGCAGAGACAGCTGCTAGCTGGACCTCAGGAAAGCTCCAGGAGTGAAGACAGGGGATGGGCTTTCCTGTGTGTCTACTACATGCACCAGGCCCTGCATCACAAACATACACTCGAGTGCCATTTACCAGTTGTGTGACCTTTAGCAAGTCACAGCCCCTGAGCCTCAATTGCCTGTCTGCCAAGTGGGAATGACAATAGGACCTAAGTTAGGGCATCCAATAAGAACCTGCCCATCAATATCACAGCATACCAGAAGTGCTCCGTGAATGGTGGCCACCTGTAGAGTTGTCAGATTAACAACAGGCTATCCAATTGAATTTTAATTTAGATGAACCACAAATAATGTTTTAGTATAAGTCTATCCCATGCCGAAAATGATTTCTTGTTTCTCTGAAATTCAGAATTAACTGGTCATCTTGTGTTTTATCTGGCAACCCTACTGCTCTGCCCTCTGGGAATTCAATTGCCCGGGGGGAGACAGAAGCCAAAATCAGTTATGTTCAATCACGTATGACGGGCAGTCCATGGAGTGAGCCCAGGGCCATATGGGGCACAGAGGTAGGAAAGGTCTGCTCTGTGTGGGGAAATCAGGGCAGGCCTCATGGAGGAGGGATCTGGACTGAGTCTTAGGGAGGAGGAAGGAAGGGCATTCCAGATAGAGGGGGGACCCGATCAAAGGCATACAGGTAAGACAGAAGGTTTGGGACTCACAGTGATAAAGGGTTAATGTGGCTGAAAAGGTAAGAAGAGGCCAGATCTCCACATCCTTGTAGACCTTGGTGAAAAGGTGGGCTATTTACTGAGGACCAAGGACTAGCTCAGTCAGGTGTGCACTGTAGAAGGGAGACTGCTGGAGGGGGTGGCCGCGCCAAAGGGGCCCCCCTGAGGGAGGCTGGCATAGGACCAAGAGTCCAGACCGAGTCAAGTACAGCGCGACCCAGTGACTAGACCTTCTCCAACTCACTCTCCCAGCCCTCCAGAGCTCCCCAAAAGAGCGCGAGGGGCGTAAGAAGGCTTTGGAGGGAGGTGGGAGCTGAGATCCCACGGTGGGTGCTGTGTCTCTGCAGGGGAGTGAATGCCCAAACCAAGAACGGTGCCACGCCCCTGTACCTGGCGTGCCAGGAGGGCCACCTGGAGGTGACGCAGTACCTGGTGCAGGAGTGCGGCGCGGACCCGCACGCGAGCGCCCACGACGGCATGACCCCGCTGCACGCGGCGGCGCAGATGGGCCACAGCTCGGTCATCGTGTGGCTGGTGAGCTCGGGGTCAGGGCGGGGCGGGGCTCGGGAAGGGGCGGGGCCTGCCGCGAAGCGGCCTGCACGGAGGGGGGCGGAGCCTGGAGGGGCCTGGCGCCCAGCCCCCGCCCCTCTATCCCGCGCCCCCTCCCGCCCAGGTGAGCTGCACCGACGTGAGCCTGTCGGAACAGGACAAGGACGGCGCCACGGCCATGCACTTCGCGGCGAGCCGCGGCCACGCCAAAGTGCTCAGCTGGCTCCTGCTGCACGGCGGCGAGATCTCGGCCGACCTGTGGGGCGGGACCCCGCTGCACGACGCCGCTGAAAACGGGGAGCTGGAGGTGGGGGCGG